GGCTCAATTCAAATGGGCGTCACACTTTTCAGATTTTTATTTGCTTAAAATTTTGAAAACCATGTATAATTTTTCTACCACTTCACAATTTGCTACTTGTGCTACTTTGTGTTGGTCTGTCACAGAAAATCGCAATAAAAAACATTTAAGTTTGTGGTTGTGCTCTGATGCGACCTGAGCGCTCACACTGTGCGTCCATAACATGAAGGTTATAACAGAAAATCTGTCGCTCGCTCTCTCTCCCTCTCTGTCTTTCACTCACACAGACACGCACACCACCACCACCATCAACTTTGCTAAATTGCTAATGAAAAACATTGATCGGGCAGCTGTGATTGAGCAGCAATGTCCATCCAACTCTTTTCACGGTTGGTGCGGTCGTGATAATTTTGTGAGGCCACATCGAAAAGGCTCGGATGAGCTTGCCAAAGTTCTACAAGTTGTGCCTCCATCGCTTGTGTCCAGATCACACGCTGCACTGCTGTGTTACTCCGTCTTTCCACTTCCATTTCTGTTTGCGTGTGCTCAGTGTGAGAGGTTACGTTGACACTCTAACGAGGATGACAGGATTTCAAACAGGTTTGATTTTCTTGCGACCATGCGATTGATGATCGGGAGCTGGTTGTGAGGTGTTAATTACTTCTCCTTACGCCATGTATACTACACGATGCACAATATACGATTAAGGCGAAACTTGGGCCGATCCCCAAAAGGGTCGCACGACTGAAAAATCAGCTCAAAATGGGCCAAAAATCACACAGTGTATGCAAAGCTTGAGGGACAAGGGGAAACTGACAACATAAATACATGTGAGAGTGAATGAATAGTCATAGCGAGATGGGTGAAGTGAAGCTAAACACACTGAACACAGGAAGAGAGGCTGTCAAAATAAAAAAGGAAACAGTAAGACGCAAACTATGATACACAGAGGAAGGGAGTACACAGAGATGTGAACTGTCACAGGAGACGGAGATGAAGACAAAGACACAAAGGGAACCTAAAAGACAAGAGAACATGAACAAGACAATAAACAAATAAACTCAGAGACCTAAATGAACTAAACTTGAGACTAGACCGAATAAACTTGAACTGAAACTATCTGCACTGTTGGCTCAGGAGGCCAGCAATGGGGATCAATATATATCAAGTATACATTATTATTAATACCAGTATCGATACAAATGACATTTGAACCATTCCTTCCACCTTTATTACGAGAGTTAACCATACCACTTTGTTATCCTTTGTCATAAATACAGATTTTAAATCAAGAGCTGTTACTATAAAATTTACCTTCTTTAGTACATTCATTTAATCAGCCTGTGTCATCACCCAGAAATGACATACGGAACTAATGATTATTTCTAATTGTCATTAGATCAAATCATTGCAGCCCTTCTTTTATTGCTAAATCTTCTAATTATTCTCATAATTGCAGACTCACAAAAAGAGATGTAAGAAATGTAAAATCTAAGTCATCATTTACTTACCATATAAGACACACAGTAGATGATCAGTATAGTCAAAGGAAGGCAGACACACATGTTGATCCACATCACCACTTCAAGGAAATACTGCTCCTGTCCATGACTTCCGGTGATGGGGTTCTTTCCTGTGTAAACCACTGCATTGTGTGGGATAGGAAGTGTTGGAAAGCGCATTAGTTTAAGATTGTTCTACTTTTCTGTATGTGAATTGGGAAAGAAGAAAAAAAGCCTGTTGAACAGAAAACAAAAACATGAAAGAGCCCAAATAATATCAGAATTTACTCTGGGTATACAGAATAGAGATGGGACGTGGTATGAAAATATGAATTGCTCGTGGTATGAAAAACCCGAAATTGCTCTCCGATGCATTCATCGGAGTATGAATGTGTGTGAATGTCAGTTGTGCTTGTGCGAATGGGTGTGAATGGGTGAATGGGTGAATGCACAAGTTGTGTAAAGCGCTTTGAGTGCTCAGAAGAGTGGAAAAGCGCTGTACAAGAACCAGTCCATTTACCATATAACGCCAAATCACAACAAAAGGCGCTTCATAGATACAGAGAAAAACCCAACAATCATATGACCCCCTATGAACAAGCACTTTGGCAACAGTGGGAAGGAAAAACTCCCTTTTAACAGGAAGAA